GAGCCGAAGTCAGATGCTCAACTGACTGAGCCACGCAGGTGCCCCTGATGGGAGAATTTAATACATTTACCTTGAAAGTCGTTATTGACAGATATGTACTTATTGTCATTTTCTTAATTTATGGCTATGTTTTTTAAAATATTTTTAAAGAGAGAGGAGAGCATGAGCTGGGGGGGCAGAGAGAGAGATGGAGACAGAGGATCTGACGCAGGCTCTGCACTGTCAGCATAGAGCTGGATGTGGAGTTCAAACTCACACACCATGATGAGATCATGACCTGAGCCAAAGCTGGACGCTTAATCAACTGAGCCACCCAGGCGCCCAAATTTCTGGCTATTTTGTACTACCTGGGTTTCCTTACTTCATCTCTCCCTCTTTTATTTGTAGTTTGATGACTTTAGTAGTATGCTTAGATTCCTTTCTCATTATATTATGTTTCTTTTAAAAAATTTTTTTTTAACCTTTATTTATTCTTGAAACAGAGAGAGACAGAGCATGAACCGGGGAGGGTCAGGGAGAGGGAGACACAGAATCCGAAACAGGCTCCAGGCTCTGAGCTGTCAGCACAGAACCCGACGTGGGGCTTGAACTCACGGACTGCGAGATCACGACCTGAGCTGAAGTGGGCCGCTTAACCGACTGAGCCACCCAGGCGCCCCTCATTATATTATGTTTCTACCATAGGTTTTTGCTTTGTGGCTACCATGAGGCTTACACATAACTTTTAACAGTCTGTTTTAAGGTGATTAGACCTTAAGTTTGAATCCATTCTAAAGCTCTGCATTTCTTCTCTCTTTCCTTCATTTTATGTTTTTGATGTCATAATGCACATCTTTTTATCTTATGTATCCCTGAACTAATTATTGTAGTTAAAGTTATTTTTAGTACTCTTTTAACTTTGATACTAGCTTTATGTGATCAATCCACTACCTTTACTATATATTTATCTTTACCAGTGAGTCTTTTATATGTTTTTTTTTTTTGTTATGAATTAGTGCCCTTTCATTTCAACTCAAAGAAGTCCCCTTTAATAGTTTTTTTAAGGCTAGTTTAGTGGTGATGAGCTCTTTAACTTTTGTTCATCTGTAAAAATCTTTATCTCTCTTTAAATTCTGCACGAAAACTTTTACTGGGTAGAGTATTCTTGGTTGGAAGTTTTTTTTTTTTTTCCTGCAGCACTTGGAATGTGTTTTGCCACTCCCTCTGTCCTGAAAAGTTTCTGCTGAAAAATCTGAAGGGGGCTCTTGGGGACTCCCTTGCACTTAACAAGATGTTTTTCTTTTGCTGCCTTAAGAGTCTCTCCTTGACTTTAACATTTGAATTTTTAATTATGCTGTGTCTTGATATGTGGGTCTCTTTGGGTTTCTCTTAGACTCTCTGTGCTTCCTATATCTGGATAGTTGTCTGCTTCCTTACTTGGGTTAGAGAAGTTGTTAGCCATTAGTTCATCAATAAGTTTTCTGCCCCTTTCTGTTTCTCTTCTCACTTCCAGGACTCCTTCAAGGTGAATGTTTCTCCAATTGACGTCCCACAAGTCAGTTAAGCTATCTTCACTATTTCCATTCGTTCTTGTTTTTATTGCTGTAATTGTGTCCCACTGCTTTGTGTGTGAGCTCCCTGATCCTTCTGCATCTAGTCTGTTATTGAACCACTCTGATGTGTCTTTTGGTTCATTTAGCGTATTCTTTAGCACTGTGACTTCTCTAATATTGTATTCTATTTTTTAGCTGTGGGTTGAAGTTCTCACTGTGTTCATTCATTCTTCTCCCAAGTTCAGTAAGCACCTTTATGACTATTACTTTGAACTGCTTATAAGGTAAATTACATATCTCCATCATTTCACTGAGTGTTTTAAATTTAATTTACTCCTTGAGAATCCACTGTATGCCAATGTCACATTCTCTTTTCTCTGGATCTTTTTCCCCTAGTTATAGTTACATATAATTGACCTACATCCTTGTATGAGTTTAAGATGTAGAGCAAAATCGTTTGACTTACATATATTGTGAAATGACCACCACAGTAAGTTTAGTTAGCCTCCATCAGCTCATGAATAAAAAATGGAGGGTTGGGTGAGTGGCTCAGTCAGTAGAGCATCCCGACTCTTGATTTCAGCTCAGGTCATGATCCCAGGGATGTGGGATGGACCCCTGCATCAGGGTATGTGGTGATCGTGGAGCCTGCTTGAGATTCTCATTCTCTCTCTCTCTCTCCCTCCACCCCTCTCCCCCTCCCCTGCTCATGCATGCTTACTCTCTCTCTCAGTATAAATTAAATAAATACATAATAGAATGGAAAGCAAAAAAAGAAAAAAATTTTCCTTGTGATTTGAATGCTTAGGTTTTACTCTCAACAACTTTCTTATATATCGTACAGCAGGTGCTAACTATACTTATCATGTTGCAGGTTACATCTCTAGCATGTATTTATCTTGTAACTGGAAATTTCCACCTTTTGACCACGTTTCTCCAATTCCCCCTCCCCCCAACTCTCACCCCTGATAACCACAAATTTGAATTTGATAATAGATTTTTCTATCAGTTTTCTTTTTCCTTTCTTTCTTTCTTTCTTTCTCTTTCTTTCTTTCTTTCTTTCTTTCTTTCTTTCTTTCTTTCTTTCTTCTTTTTTTGCATTTCACATAGAAATCAGATTGTACAGTATTTGTCTTTCTCTATTTTATCTAGGACAATGCCCTAGATTATTCAGGGTCCATTTGTGGTGCTGCAAATGGGAAGGTTTCATTCTTTTTGGCCGAATAATCTTTCATTGTCTGTGTATCTCCCATTTTGTTTATCCATTCATCCACCAGTGGACATTGAGGTTGTTTCTGTATCTTGGCTACTGTGAATAATTCTGCACTGAACACCTTTCAAGTTAGTGTTTTTGTTTTCTTTGGATAAATATCTAGAAGTAGAATTGCTGTATCATATGGAGGTTCTAGTTTTAATTTGGGGGGTAATCTCCATACTATTTTCCATGGTGACTGCACCAGTTTACATTCCCAGCAGTGCACAAGGATTCTCTTTTCTTCACATCATACCAGGATTTGTTATGGCATTCTAACAGGAGTGAGGATATCTCATTATGGTTTGGATTTGCATTTCCCTGATAATTACTGATGTTGAGTATCTTTTCATGTACTTTTTGACCTTTCATGTGTCTTTTTTGTAGAAATTTCTATTCAAATATTTCCCATTTTTGATGAGATTGTGGGTTTTTTGAGTTGGTTTGGTTTTGCTACTGAGTTGTAGGAGTTCTTTATATATGTTGGATTGTAACCCCTTAGGTATATGGCTTACAAATATTTTTCCCAGTCTGTAGATTGTCTTTTCCCTTTTTTTTTATTGTTTCTGTTGCTGTGCAGAAGCTTTTTAGTCTGACGCAGTCCTACTTGCTTTTTATTCTGTTGCTTGTGCTTTAAGTGCATATCCAAAAAGTCAATGCCAAGATCCATGTCAAGGAGCCTTTTCCTTAATTTTCCTTCTAGGAATTTTATGGTTTCAGGTCTTATGTTTAAGTCTTTAATCCATGCCAAGTTAAGTTTTGCAAGTGGTATAAGATAAGGGTCTAATTTCATTCTTTTACATAGGAATATTCAATTTTCCCCTGCACCATTTATTGATGAGACTGTCTTTTCTCCATTGAGTATTCTTGCATCCCTTGTCAAATATTAGTTGACTATATATACTTGGGTTTACTTCTGGGCACTTGAGTCTGTTTCATTGATCTACATGTCTGTTTTTATTTTATTTTTTTTAATTTTTTAAGGTTTATTTATTTTTAGGAGAGAGAGAGAGAGAGACAGAGAGAGAGAGAGAGAGAGAGAGAGAGATAGTATGAGCAGGGGAGAGGCAGAGAGAGAAGGAGACACAGAATCCAAAGCAGGCACCAGGCCACGAGCCATCAGCAGAGCCTGATGCGGGGCTCAAACCCAGGAGCTGTGAGATCATGACCTGAGCTGAAGCCAGACACCCAACCGACTGAGCCACCCAGGTGCCCCTACATGTCTGTTTTTATAGCAGAACCATCCTGTTTTGATTCTGCAGCTGCTTTGTAGTATAGCTTGAAATCAAGAAGTGTTAATACTTCCCACTTTGTTCCTCTTTCTCAGGATTGCTTTGGATATTTGGGGTCTTTTGTGATTCTATAGAAGTTTTAGGATTTTTTTTCTACTTCTGTTAAAACAATGACATTGCAATTTTGATAGTGATTGCATTGAATCTATAGATGGCTTTTGGTAGTATGCACATTTAAACATTTAATTGTGTTTTATTTCTTTCATCATTGCCTTGATGAAAATACGTTCTGAGTAGAGATCTTTTACCTCCTTGGTTATTTATTCCTATGTGTTTTACTGTTTTTGATGCTATTGTAAATGGGGTTATTTTAGTTCTTTTTCAGATAATTAATTGTTCGTTTATGGAAATGCTGCGAATTTTCTAAGTTAATTTTCTATATTGTAACTTTATTGATTACATTGATTATATCTAACATTTTTCTGGTGGAGTCTTTAGGATTTCTTATATATAAGGTCATGTCACCTTCAAACAGAGAAAATTTTACTTCCTTTCCAATTCTGATGCCTTTTCTTTATTTCTATTGCCTGATAGCTCTAGTAAGTTCTTCCAGTACCAGTTGAATAGGAGTAGTGAGAACAGGCACGTTTGTTTTCTTTGTTATCAGGAAAAAAGCTTTCAACATTTAACCATTTGGTATGAAATCAGATTTGGGCTTTGTTATGTTGTGGTACATTCATTCTATACCTAATTTGTTAAGAGTTTTTATCATGAGCGGATGTTAAATTTTATCCAGTCATTTTTCTGCATCTATTGACTTTCTTCTTTTCATCTGATGTATTACATTGGTTGATTCACATAAGTTGAAAATTCTTGCATCTCAGGAATAAATCCCACTTGATCTTTGTTGAATTCTTACCTTGTTCATGCATTGCTGTCCTAATTATGCTTCCAATGTGCTGCTTAATTTAGTTTGATAAGGGGCGCCTGGGTGGCGCAGTCGGTGAAGCGTCCGACTTCAGCCAGGTCACGATCTCGCGGTCCGTGAGTTCGAGCCCCGCGTCAGGCTCTGGGCTGATGGTTCAGAGCCTGGAGCCTGTTTCCGATTCTGTGTCTCCCTCTCTCTCTGCCCCTCCCCCGTTCATGCTCTGTCTCTCTCTGTCCCAAAAATAAATAAACGTTGGAAAAAGAAATTTAAAAAAATTTAGTTTGATAATATTTTATTGAAAATTTTTGCATTTGTATTCATCAGGGATGTTGGTCTGTAGTTTTCTGGTAGTATCTTTTTCTGGCTTTGGTATCAGAGTAATGGTGGCCTAATAAAATGAAATTGGAAGTATTCCTTCCTTTTCAGTTTTTTGGAAGAGTCTGAGAAGGATTGGTTTTAATTCTTCTTTAAAGCTTCACCGGTGAAGCCATCATGTCCTGGGCATTCTTGTAGTTCACTACACTTTCAGAAAATTATTCTGAATTCTCTGACAGTTCATAGATTTCCATATCCTTAGGATCAGTTATTAGAGTTTTATTAGTTCCCTTTGGTGGTGTCCTTTATTGGTTTCCTTTGGTGGTTCTTCACAATCCTTAATTTCTTATGTTGGGATCTATACATTTAAGGAAGTGTTCTCTTCCAGACTTTGCAGGTTCGCTGTGGCTGAGACCATTCCTTAGCAATAAGCCCAGTTTTGGTTTTTTGGACATGTCTGCTGATAATGTCCTTGGGCAGGTGGGGCCTGTTGTTAGGGTCTATTTTGGGGCAAGGCAACTGTTCGAGTTCTAGGGTCAGTGGTTGGGGGTGGGGTGTGTGCGCCACTGCTGAGAATATTGGGAAAAGTCTGCTGGCTGGGTTCCCTGTCCAAGTGAAGCTGTAGGATGGACTTCACCATTGCTTGGAATCCCTGGTCAGGCTTATTAGTTAGGACCAGATACTATACTCGGCAGTAGTGGGGAGCTAGGAGTTATCTTCGCTGTTCTGGTGGGGCAACAGGACAGAACCCAGGGCTTGCACAGCTCACTGTGGACCTGAATCAGAAAAGAGTGTGCACTGAATATCGCAGTCAGGTGAGGCTACCAGTTTTGCTCTGTAGACAGGGAAAGCCATGGGCAGCGCTCTCTGTTCAAGTGCCACTCTAAGCAGGGTTGTTAACTAGACTATGCGGCATCCCTTAAGCTGCGGTAAGGTTCCCTGGTTGGGCAGTCTGAAGACTGTATTCAGCAATAAGTGGGGCTACAAATCAGTGGGCTATGCACTAGTTTCCTTGCTTTGGTGCAGTGGGAACAGCAGCTCTGCGGCCACTAATGCTCTTTATTTTTGGTCTTGATTCAAGCCGACGCAAGCTTCAAGGTCCATGGCTGAACAGGGCTACTGTGTGTGTTCTGGGGACAGTCGGCTCTTACCATCCACCTCCCAGCTCTGGAGTTGCTGGGTTATGTAGTGTCCTGGCATTCTTACCAATCTTCCCTATTAGACGGGGGTAGAAGCCATACTCCATAGCTGGTGGGGCCATGACTCATGCTCCTGCCTGGGCAAGACTAGGAGGGTTCACTTATGGCAACTCCCAAAGTTTCCCAAACAGGCTTTCTGTTCAGGAGTGGCTGTGAGCCTTCATCCATAGTGAGTAGGGCAAGGAGTTCCCCTGCCTGGGCATAGCAGAGAAAACCAAGAGAGAGAAAGAGGGGGAGGGGGGGCGCACATGAGAGCGCAAAGATGGTGCGTACTGGCCTATGTTCTAGAGCATCCCTTTAGGGCTCTAGATGTGTGCCAAACCTGAATCTACCCCTTTAGCCAAAGATCCCAGACAGATGGGCTTCTTCATAGAAATCCTGGGGTTGTACTTCAGTCTGCTGTCCGTGAAGTACCCTGGGGGCGATAACCTGCCAAGAACTGTCTGATTGTCACAGTTCCCTAGGACCCAGGAATGTAAGCCTTCCCAGCCACCAGAGCCAGGCCATCAAGGGGCATCCTGTGAGTAGCAGCGATAAAAACCAGGGCACCAACATGAAAACTGGGGCACTGCATACTTACAGAGCTCTACTCCAAGAGATGCTGTCACTCTGGAATGTGGGAGAGGGAGAGCATGAAGAGACAGGGCCTGCCCTCCAAGTTCTCTGGAAAGGTTGACAGCCTGCCCTTAGAGGTATATTTATTTGGAAGCCCACCCTTCAGGCTGCAGCTATGATCATAAACTCACAGGCCTCCTCCACAGAATGACTGAGCTCCTGGATCTGTTACCTCTTGCTGTGCCCTGAGGGTGCTGGCTGTTTAAGAACCCTCTCTCCTTTGGCTCTGGTCCTGTGGGACTGCTAGTGCGAGCCTCACTAGACACCACAGCTGGGTGTTATAGAGGTTTGCCCCAGCAGCAGCCATAAAAGTCAGGTTACCAGACAAGGGAATAAGCTCCTTTCCGGAAGATCCCAGTGAGGTGGAATGAGGCAGAGGGAGAGCACAAAGATTGCACCCACTAGTGTCCATTCCCTGAGAGTCCCTCTGTAGGGCCTCAGATGTAGGCCCTTAGATGCCAAACCAGAATCCTGCCCTTTAGGCCAAACCTCCTGGACAAGCAGTTGGTTCTTTTTCTCAGAAAGGCCACAGGTGTCTTTCAGTCTGCCATCTGTCCTGTGCTGTAGGAGGTGTGGTTCACCAGTAACCATCTCTCCAATTGTTATGGTTCCTTGGGACCCAGGAATGCAAGCCCCCACCCCTTACCCTCCACCTCTAGAATCCAGTGATCAAAGGGTGTCCTATGAGAAGCAGACATAAAAAAATCAGGTCACTAGATGTAAAAACTAGGGCACCAGATGAAGATTGAAACCTTTTATTACTGTGTGTTTTCTTTCTGTGTTTGGGCATGAGGAGTTTAGGGCAAGGGCATGGATGGTGGGGGGAGCAAGGCAGATAAGGGGACTCTGGAAGTATTCTTCTCTCCTTGAAAATACAAATAAGAATTCTCTGGGGCTGGTTTTGGATACTTCCTGGGATGTTAGGCTCATGCAGATTCACACCCCACCTGGAAATACGCAGATTGCCATCTTGCTTACATTTTCAAAATCTTATGGCCAAGCCATTTCTGAATGATTTCTCTAGGAGAGTATTTATAGGTTTTGTAACCACTAGTTGAACCAACATTTCTCACCTGTTTTCAAGACCATTGGAGTAGGCAAATCAACTTCCGAAAACAGAACGGTGCTGGTTCTGTCAGTCTGTAGTTTGACATGGGAGTCTCTTTCTTGAGTTTGCTCACGCCTTTCCTGTTGGGTTTTTTTTCCAGCAAGCACAGTGTGGCCTGGATCTTCGACACATCACCGTGGTCGAGCTGGTAGGTGTGTTCCCGACCCTCATCGGCAGGATAGGAGCAAAGATTATGCCTCCAGCCCTAGCTCTGCAGCTCAGGTAGGCGGAAGTTCTCTCCTTAAATTGTATCCCCTATGAAGGTACTTTTTTTAGATCAGGTTCCCTGATTTCCTGCTATTTGGTATTGATTCCAAGTAACCTTCGGTGTTTAATTGATTTTAGTCTGAGAGCTCTATAACCATGCTAATTGGCATGGTGCTGCTTGTCCAAATATATCATGCCATGGGTAATTTCCAGTGTTCTCTTCTTGTCCCTTTTAACCAGGTGTCTTTGTATTGTTTTTCTTTCTGCTTGGGGGGTGGGGGGGGTGGGATTGAAAGGGAAGAGCCTGAAAAAACGGACCTATGCAATCCTTTGTGTTATTAGGAAAGCAGGCATCCAATTAACCTTTCCAGGCTTCTTCTCTTTTCCCTCCATGCTTCCAGGCACTTGCCCATACCCCCATTTTAACAGCTAGGTTTTATTTTGGTAATACTTACAAAGCTAGAATCATGGTGCCCAGGCTCTGTGTAATGGTGTGTTACAAAAAGCAGAATTCAACAGCCGAAAGGTAATTTCAGAACAGTCTCCAATTTTTACTTGCATCTCTTGACCACTCTGAAAAGGATAATTGGGCTAAAGAAAACCCAAAATCTTGCTTCCTCACCCATCCTTTTTCTCACAACGCAAGGGAGGGTGCTTTGTTTATAGTCTATAATCGCTACTCTTTACATTCAGGGTCCCAGGCTGATGGTGGCTCCACCATCTTGTAGCATCATTTGGAACACATGACTTCCGGGTTTCTGCAAAGGGGGAGGAGAGTAAAAACGAACCTCACCCCTCTTTCACGCTTCATGTTGGAAGCCTGAAATTGCTCTCGCCAAGTCCATTGGCCAAAACTCGTCACGTGATTGCAACCCAACTTCAAAGCAGGCTGGGAAACGCAGTCTTTCTGTGTTCCCAGGAAGAAGAAAATGAAAGAGGACTCGATGAGCCCCATCACAGATGTTCAAAGAGGTTCACAGAAATTCCTTGAGAAATTATATGCTAGAACTATGCCCTTAGCCAGTGATATTATAGATTGACACAATAGATTGTTTAATTTGCGTATTTTCCATCTGCCTTTTGACCTCCACCCCATCTCTGATTTATACTTCTTCACCCAAAAAGAGTGCCCCATCCATACCATACCAAGGTAAAAAACTCAGAGGGTGAGGGATGCAAAAAGAAATGAGGATAACTGAATTATTTTTAGTTGGCTGAAAGAGGGAGAAGGCTGGGTATACTCACAACCATAAATGTGTGTGTGTGTGTGTATATATATATACACACACATTGTATGTATATGTGTGTGTGTGTGTGTGTGTGTGTGTGTGTGTGTGTGTGTGTGTATGTCTGGCTACATTCAGTAGCACCTCTCTAGAGTGTAACACTTTGAGGTCAGTACCAGATCTCCACAACAGTGCCCGGCACCATGTTGGAGGTAAGTGGAGGCAATGACTCTAAACTGAAACAGGTTTACTATTTCCAGGAGCGAGAGTGGCCTCTAAGAGTGTATTTACAGTTATGTTTCAAGTTGAAAACAGCACAACTCGAGATTATGTCGACATCTGAAATATTCCCAAAATAGGTGTTTGAAGCTGTTGGTAATTTAGAACTACCTGTCCGTACCCTGTGTTAAATATTTTTTAAAAAAAACTTGTCACAGAATTTGCAACATGTTTCTCTTTGGATTGCAGATCTATAGAGAGGGAATCTTGATAAAATATTAATGTGATGTGATTTTAAACTATTGCAATTTGAAGAAAAGAAAACTCTGATTCAAGAAAAAAACTCATCATTCAGGTTGTATATGTTGGGGCTACTCGAGAGCCCTTCAGGCTGAGGATGATTTGAGCAACAAAGAAGTTACATACATGAATTACACAGTGGTTCTCAAACTTTAACCTGCCCTAGGATCCCCCGGAGCACTGTTATAACATAGAACGCGGGGCCCCACCCCCAGAGCGTGTGATTCAGTATGGGATGGGGCCTGAGAATTTGCATTTCTAGCAAGTTCCTGCTCCTGTTCCCCTGTTGTTGAAGCTGCTGGTCTGAGGATCACACTGTGAGAACGACTGGCCTAGCATTTTACCAAAGGCTTCACACAGCTTTGAAATGGAAATTTTGCAAAGCAGCCTGTAAAAGGAGGGTCAGTCATTATTGTGTAGCCAGAAGATAGTCCGGGTCAATGTCACACAGAGATGATCCATCACATGCATTGTCTAAGGGATTTGGTGTCAGGCTACATGTCCCCTTTATCAGACCTATCGGTGAGGAATAAGGGAGTTCACAGATGGATGTTTTATCTTCTTCCCTTTGAATTCCACCCCAGAGTCTAGTGCAGATGAAAAGAGCCAATTTAGGCAAAGAATGGGAAGCGTGAAAGAAAAGGAGAGGCAGAATGACTGGAGAATCTAAAAATTCTCCTGTATGGTTAGAATACTATTTTCAAATAGCACTGAGGCCATGATAAAACAATAAAGGGCATCAGCAGTGCCTGGTGTCGTAAAGATACCACCTTCCGGCTTCCTTGCGCTCATGTTTTTTTAGAGATGAAGGTACGAGCAAATTCATGTTCCCTAGAGTAACTTTCCAGCAATTGCAAGGGTGACAGGGACCAGGAATTCCATGATTTTTATTTCCATGTTATTTTTCAGCTAGAATTAACACTATTGAAGTATACAACCAAATGATTCAATATTTGTATATATTGCAAAATGATCATGCTAAACTAAGTCTATTTAACATCAGTCACCATACATAGTTACATTTTTTCTTATGAAGAGAAATTTTAAGACTTACTCTTAACTACCTTCAAATATGTAATACAGTATTATTAACTATAACCACCATGCTGTACATTAATTAATCCCTATGACTTTTTTATCTTTTATGAACTCAGAGACTTTAAATAATTTATTAAATCTTAAGTCAGAGTTTTTTTCCTTCCAAGGTTTTTAGATTCAAATTAGTTAACATATAGTGTAGCATTGATTTCAGTAGAACCCAGTGATTCATCACATATACAACACCCAGTGCTCATCCCAACAAGTGCCCTCCTTAATGCCCGTCACCCATGTAGCCCTTGGCCCCCGCTCCCTTCCACAAACCCTCATTAAGACCCAGGATTTATTTTGTATCTATAGGTTTCTACCCTTTGACCCCCTTCACACATTCTACCCACCCCTAACCCCCTGCCCTCTGACAACCAAGAATAAGTTTTTGTATCTATGAGTTTGGGTTTTTTTTGTTGTTATCTGTTGTTTTAGATTCTGCATGTAAGTGACACAATATGGTATTTGTCCTCTGATTTATTTCACTTAGGATAATGTCCATAAGGTTCATCCATATTTTCACAAATGGCAACATTTCATTCTTTTTATGGCTGAATATTCGTGTGTATGTGTGTGTGCCATATTTTCTTTATCCATTCATCCATGGATGGACTCTTAGATTGTTTCCATCTCTTGGCTGTTGTAAATAATGCTAAAGATGAGGGTGCATATAGGTTTTCAAGTTAGCTTTTTTTTTTTTTTTATATATATGAAATTTATTGTCAAATTGGTTTCATACATCACCCAGTGCTCACAAACGTGTCTCCTCAGTACCCATCACCACCTCCTCCCTCCCACCCCCCATCAACCCCTGGGGGGTTTGTTCTCAGTTTTTAAGAGCCCTTATGCTTTGGCTCTCCTACCTCTAATCCTCCTTTTTTTTCCCCTTCTCCCTCCCTCATGGTCTTCACAGCTTCCAGGATCCACATAAGAGGAAAACATGGCATTCAGTCTTTTCTGTATGACTTATTTCAATTAGCATCACACTTCCAACGCATCCACGCTACAAAGCCAGATTTCTCCTTTCTCATTGCCACTTAGTACCATTGTAGTAGTATAAAACCACAATTTCCTTTATCCATTCATCAGCTGATGGACATTTAGGCTCTTCCATAATTTGGCTGAGAGTGCCATGAACATTCAGTACAAGTTCCTATGCATCAGTACTCCTGTGTCCTTGATAAATTCAGCAGTGCCATTAAGGTCATAGGGTAGGTCTAATTTTCTGAGGAACTCACACTGCTTTCCAGGAGCTGTCAAAAATTCAATTTGCATTCCTCTCACCAAATAGTGCAAGAGGGTTCCCTGCTTTCTCCACATCCTCTCCAGCATCTATAGTCTCCTGATTTGTTCATTTTGGCCACTTGACTGGGCGGAGGTGATACCTGAGTGTTTGATTTGTATTTCCTGATAAGGAGCTTATCGCCAAACATCCTTTCATGTGCCTGTTGGCCATCCTGATGTCTCTTTAGAGTAGTTCATTCATGTTTTCTGCCCATTTCTTCACTGGGTTATTTGTTTTTTCTCGGGTGTGGAGTTTGGTGAGCCTTTTATGATTTTTTTTGGATACTCAGCCCTTGGTCCGACATGTCATTTGGTAAATATCTTTCCCATTCCGCTGGTTGCCTTTTTTTTTAGTTTTGTTGGTTTGTTTCCTTTTACAGCAGTATTTTTTTATCTTCATAAGGTCCCAGTAATCTGCTTTTGTTCCCTTGCCTTTGGGGATGTCTGCAAGAGATTGCTACGCTGAGGTCAGAGAGGTCTTTCCTGCTTTCTCCTTAAGGTTTTGATGGTTTCCTGTCCATTCAGGTCCTTTATCCATTTCCTTGAGTTTATTTGTGAATGGGTGTGAGAGTGGTCTAGTTTCAACTCTGTATGTTGCTGGCCCAGTTCTCCCAGCACCATTTGTTAAAGAGGACTGTCTTTTTTCCCATTGCCCTTTTCCTGCTTTGTCAAAGATGATACCATAATGTCAGGGGTCTAGTTCTTAGTTTATCTCTATTCCATTGGTCTATGTGTCTGTTTTTGTGCCAAGGTTAGCTTTTTTTTTTAATTTTCTTCAGATAAATACCCAAAAGCGGAATTGATCAATCATATAGCTCTTAATTTTTTGAGGGACATCCATACTGTCTTCCAAAGTGGCTGCACCAATTTACAATGTCACCAACAGTGACCAGTGTTCCC